TCTATTGAACTGAAAAAAAAATAAAAAAATGCGATGCGGAGGATCTTCCTATTAAAATTAAGAGCTCATATTTGGTGAGAATTTTTTTAAGGTGTCTAACAACCCATTTTTCCGTGGCACTTGTAAAAAACAAAATAATTGATTTTTTTGACCCACCCTAATATATATATTGTATATATAAATGTAAATGTAATTGTTTTATATAAATATTTATTAATATATTTTATAATATATTACTATATAATATAATATAATATAAATATAATATAAAATTATTATATTTGCATAAATATAAATATAAATAAAATTAATATAATTAAATTATAAAATTATATAAAAATAAATATATATACAAATAATAATATAATTAAGATTGTTTATTATATAAATAGTATACAATAATATAAAATACTTTGAAGTAAGAAAAAAAGAATGAAAATATAAGAAAAGATGAATAATAAAACTTACGTTTATAATAGTAGCACCTAAAACTATCATCCAAGCCCAACCTTTGTCAGTTTCGAAACGAGTCATGATAATTAAGATGAATCTTCAAAAATTCTTTTGAATGGTAAAAAAAAAAATTTGGTCTCCTATCGTTCCTCTCTGAAGGCTCGTCTTCGAGTAGTCTAGAGACTGTAGAAAATTGATTAGTAGTAGTATATAATTCGGGATGTAACGAACGATAAGATAAACGATGACTCTCTTTCTTCTGATAGGATGTTTAAAAGATAGAAAACAAGAGTAAAAAGAGAAAGAAAGAAAAAAGAAATGTGTTTTGTTTGATAAGTCTATTTTTTTTTTTTTTTTGAAATAATAACACTTCAAATCTCTTATACCTATTTTTAAATGTCCAAATTATAATATGTACTTCAGATAACAAGTTTTATTTGTTAATCTAAAGTTAGAATAATTTTATGCTGGAATAAATCTGAGAGAATATATTTTAACAATATTTTTTTATTAAATGTTTAGTTGACCTGTTTTATAGTTAACAATATTGGTCATTGAACTTAAAAGATGTATTTGACAAAAGATAAACATGTGTGTGTATGTGTGTACTTTGGTTTATTATATTTACTTATTGGATAAATAATATAATTAAATAAAATTATTTTCTTTGTTAAAATATAAAATACTAAATAATAATAATTCTAAAATATACTATAATAATAATATTAAATATACTACTAATAATAATACTAAAATATAAAATATAAATGTATATACTATATATTATATATTTATAATATATAATAATTATAATAATTGCAAATATATAATATATTAATATTATAATTATTATATTATTAATATTAATAATATAATAATATTATTAATATTATATATATATAATATAAAATATATAATATATTATATATTATAAATTTAATAAAAATAAAATGTTCAATATGCTGTGATAAAATTCGAATTAAAATAACATATGCTTTAATTTATTATACTACTTATTAAATAAATAATATAATTAAACAAAGTTATTTTATATAAAGAATATAATTATGTTCTTTCATTAAATATAAAATAATAATAACTATGATATAAATATATGAATATTTGAAAATATTTCACATGCAATAACAATAACATATACTTTTGTTTATTACTAATAAGAATAAGAATAAAAATAAGAAGAATAAGAAAAAAAAAGTGCACAATTATAGCATAGTACTCAAATGGCAAATTATTACTATATAGTAGTTGATGGCACTTCAACGTTAGATAACCCGAGTAGAAATAAAACGAAGCATATATACACACACACATATCTTAAATGGGATACTTTAATCGGCTGAATTGCTTCTACTATTATTCGTGTATACTTATGTTATATTATTTGATCTAGTTTTTTGGTTAATGACAGTTAATAATAGTCTTACCGTTCCATGTCAACTGAAAACTCGACTAATTTTTATCCAAATAACGTCTGACATGTCCAATTAATTATTTAAATTAATCTACAAAAAAAAAACATTTTACGATAACATTACCTATATATAGATAAGTACATTTGTTTACGTTACATTAAAACACAAAACTTGAATAATTTATTATTGCTAAAATATTAATTCTTAAAATTCATCGATCGAATGATGTTTCTCATTTCTTTTTTTTTTGTTTACTCGCCACTCGAAATTATCATATTATCTAAGATTATCTCGTTAATCGTTATTTTGATATAAGTTCTTTTTTTTTCTTTTTCAAAACGTTAATGTAACGTAAAATAATTGAATATTTATAAGTTTGATTATTCGTTTTTAAACGTCGAATACTTTACCTTGTTATAAATAACATAAGTGGTAACTCTTATCCATTTCTCTGTTTAATCTTCGTTTTGTTATTTGTCAAACAATTAACATATCTTTTCTTCGTATATTTGTTCACGTATTATTTAAATAACTTAAAGGTATAACAATAATAATAAGGATTTAAATGTTTCGTAGAAAATTCACTTGATTCATATAATAATAATAAACAATAATAATAATAAGAAGAAGTATTTTAAACGTTTCGTAGGAAATTCACTGGATTCATGAATTCACAATGTTATTTAATTAATTTAATATTCAACAGGAAAAAAAATATCACAAATAATGTTGAATTACACATTGTTAACTATTATTTCACGATTTTGTAATTTTTCTACGTTTAATATAAAAATAAAATCACGTGGATGAAATCAATAAACATATGATCACATATGATCACTGTATATATTATATATATATATATGTACGTATCAACACGAACTGCGATCTTTGTTAGACTGATTCTGGTTGAGTCGGTCAATGAAGACGAGAATAAGGTTTGAAAACCGGCTTCGTAAAGTAGATCCCAGAGTGTGCTGCTTATTTCTTATTCTTATACTTCGTTTTATACTACATATACTTGTTATACGTATCTACTACACCTACGTGAGTTGATCGTGGAACATGTAAGCCGGTTTATGCTTGAAACGACTCCTTCAGTTTTATTACTGAAACCGATTTAAACATTTCTTCTTTATCGATCGAATTAAATAAATATAATTGTTTATAGTTCAAAGAACATTGAACATTTTACAAATTGTTTTGACGAATGAATAGTATTTAATTTGTTAATATTTATAGAATTAATCATCAGTTTTAAGGATAACATCTGTTATAACATTGATAAAGATAATACCGTTTTTAAAGTATATTATTAATGAGAAGGAATGTAATTGATTTTTATTTTAATATTATTTATTTACGTGTGTTAGGATGAAATATTAGATAGTTTTATTTATTTTTAAATAATATCGAAGATTTATAATAGTAATAAATAATTAATTATTAACATATTAATATTTCAAATTTATAAAATAATTGAATTTTAAAATATTAATATTTCAAATTTATAAAATAATTAAATTTTAAAATATTAATATATTTAAAATTTATAAAATATAATTAAAATTTAAAATATTAATATTTAAAATTTATAAAACAATTAAATTTTAAAATAATAATATATTTAAAATTTATATAATAATTGTAATATATTAATATATTAAATATTAATATAATAAAATTATTTTTTACATTAATAATTAATTATTTACTGTATTTAGGTACAATTTGATTATTATGTTAACTTTATGTTAAACAAAATTTCATTACTCGTAATATTTTAGCAAATATTTTATCATTATTCGTTATTATAAATAATTGATCTGTTTTATAGGAATTATTTCAACACTGATAAAAAAAAAGATAAAAAAAGATCGTAACTATGATAATAGATCTCTGATGTAACATTGTAAATCAACGTTAAGATATAATACGTTTAAACTTCTTAGAATTCGTAATTGTGAATCATTATAACATTGAAAGAGGAATACTAATCGGATAATCTAATGCCATAATCTTGGTTTCAAATTTACATACGCCTAATCTTATCTGTAATGTGATTTCTATTGAAATATGAATTATTATCATTCTCGTTATTGTTATAAATATAAAACAAATCTAAATAATTAAATATTAGGAATTTAATTTATGGAATACACAGGGTGTTAAAAAATAATTCAAATCCGTGATATATTTTTTTATTATTATATATTTTTTTCTATAATATTGACAACGTGTAATAAACTATAATTAATAGCGTATAAATTACAAAAATTTAATAGCAAAAATTACAAGTTGATCTTTAATACTTGAATTATTATTACAAAAAAAAAAAATAATTACAATTGTTCATTTAAATTTTGTCAAGATAAATCTTTAAAAATCTGTTCGATCAATTGTTTACAAAATAAATAATTCGTGTCATTCGTTATTATTAATAATAAATAACATGTCGATTATTCTATCGTATTTTTTTGAGTTTCTTCAATAAAATTTAGTTTCCTTTTACGTAGACCGAAATATGAAAATTCAATAGTCCACGAGATAAATGTCATAATGATTAAACTTGTCATAACGTGAATGCAGATTCTATAACTCTGGGTATAATCTCGTATGAATCCTGTATATATATATTAATCAATCAATATTAAATTATTTTCATTGAAATATAATATTTTGATTATTCTTATAGATGAATCATTTATATATAAAAATATTTTATTATTATGATAATAAAATTATGATAATAAATCTATTGAAAATAATATTGAATAAGAATAATATTTTTAGGAAAAGAAAAAAACAACTTACCGATAAGTGGACTCATAGCAACAACGAAGATACCCTTACAGACCATAAATATTCCAAATGCACTTGGTAATTTTTTTAATGAACAACATTCAGAAATACTTAGATTTAAATTGACCAAAGTGGCTCCACGTAAAAATCCAATTATTACGAATAATATGATTAGGGTTGTTCCTTTCGTACGTTCGGCAAGTACTGAACAAAAAATTAAAAATAAAATATGTAAACATATAAAATAATATTTATAATATATTAGAGTGAACGAGAAGTTCGCGTGTTTATTATAGTGTGTTATAAATTGTATTATAAATTACATAATGAATTATTTTTTTAATAAATTTTATTTTGGAAATATTAATAAAAAATAATTCACGAATTTTTGGTTCACCCTAATATCAATATTATATATATAAATAAATAATTAAATTACAATTAAAATAAATAATTGAATTATAATAATAATTAAAATAAATATATAAATTAAATTTATAGATAAGATAAGAAGTTTATTTCAGGTATACCCTTTTAGGGTGTTTACCCCGAAGGCCCCCCCTACATGTTCGTTCCCCTTTACAATAGTATTAACAATATAAAACATTATAAAACAATATAAACAACATTAAACAATATACCACATTTAGTAACTATATAGACTATATAAAACTATAACATATATATACTTTATATTCCCTACATCTATTTCCTTATATGTCTAATTGTTCCACTCACACTCT